GACTGATTCACCTGCTGCCCTGGGCTCCCTTGGCAGTCTTGTCTCCATCTCAGCGGGGAGGTACTTGGCTTGGTGCATTTTGGTTCTCTTGTTGGCTTCCTGCTTTTACTCTCTGGTTATTTGTTTGCTGGTCTCCCTCTTATGCTTCCTTTATGCCATTTCTGTTCTGGGGCTATTAAAGGCAGAAATCTGCAAAGTGATGGGACTGATCCAGGAAAGGTCTGCTCTTGGCAGCAGAAATGGAGTCCAAGGGACCAGTGACCTCCTGATGTATGGGGGAAGAGTGACATCTGGCCGGGAGATGGTGCAGGCATACCAGCTGGCTGGCCATGTATTATGAAAGGGTAACATTTGCCTTGGAGAATGGTGCCCACCAGGAATGGGCTGGAGTGTTCATGCAGCCAGTTCCCATCATGGTTGGAGTTGGAATGTGTCACGGCCTTAAAGGAAATTGACACCACTTGGTCTCTGATGCTGACAGAGGGAGCCCGCTACTGTGGACTTAACCGTGCTTTGGAGGCGGAGAGAAGCTTGAGCAATCAAAGGCCTCCTGGAGACTTGGCCGTGGCAACCTCCTAAATGGCTCCATTTGTCACTCTTGCTTGCCAAGGCTGCGTCGGTGCTGCGAACGGAGAAAGGGATGAACAGAAGGCTAGCTGCTTGCCTTCCTTTCGCCTTCCCCTCACTGTGTGCTGGTCTAATCCCATGGCTCCCTCCCTTCACTCAGAACAGTCTCCTCTCTGAGGCTTGGCTCCACCCACAGGCCTGCTGGGAAGGAAGTAGGCCACAGCGCAGAGTCATGAGACGGTGCTGTCCCCCGTGGGCCACCTGCGGCCTGGAGAAGGCGCTTCGTGCGTATTGCCTGGTTTCTAGGGCCTCTGTGCCTCTTCCTGTGTCTTTGATAGGCGCGGAGAGGGCTGGGGGTGTCAGGAGGCCAGAGTGAGGCTGGGGGCCAGCCACGTGTGTCTGGAGCCTGGCAGGGACTCAAGAGCACTCCCTGATGTGCTCATGCTGCTCTGGGTGGGTGAGACCTAGAGTCACCACAGCACAGGAGAATGGGTGTTGTTTTCCTTCTCTGGGAGACTCTGGGAAAAGCTGCCTCCTGTTGTACTTGGCTGTAGCAGGCACAGTTCAGGGATAAGACGCGTGTGTCGGGAAGGACAACAAAGATGACGCCCGTGTACCCAGGCTCCGCTCTGTCCGAGCTCTCTCACACACACTATCGGCTCTTTATCACTGCAGCCTTGTGTGGAGACAGGCACACGCGGCCCTCACTATTTGGGGACTGATGTAGTAGTCAGCTTTCCCATCGCTGGGACACAATACTTGACACATACACAAGTTAAAGCGGATTCAGTCCACGATCAGCTGGCGGAAGGGCACGGTGAAGCAGAGCTGCGTAGTTCGTGGTGGCTGGGAAACAGAGAGAAGGCCAGATATAGTTCTTGGGGACCCAGACACACCCAGAAGTGTGCTTTAATCTTTAATCCTTTGAGTGGCTTATAAGCCAATCAAGTTGACAGTCACCTTCACTGTGACAGCTGAGGACATTGAGCACTAGAGACACAGCAGGCCAGCACGGAGTCACACAGCTGCAGCCAGGGACTGAGTGTGACCATGTGACAGCAGCTGGATCAGCCCCCTCTCCACTCACTGAGGAGCCCCTCTGCTATCTTGGGTCTGGGCTCTGTCCCCTGACTTGTTTCCCGTGCTCCCACCTCTCCTCCTGATGCCTGGTCTCTCTGGGGCCCATCAGGGAAATATTCAGGATCCCCTAAAGGGCTGTTGCCACCTTCCTCCTGCATGTGACCTCTCCCTTCTCCAGCCTGTGGAGCTGGTGACATTTTGAGAGATCCTACGAATGGTGAGCCAGCCGAGATCCTCTGGTCTGGTTCTTGATTGCAGAGCCAGAGGAGTGCAAGGTCTCATGTGCCATTGGGGGTTGGAGCCATTTAGCAGGCTCCCAATACATGAAGGTTGACGCTCAGGTCTGCTGTGGCCGGCAGTGTTGTCCCCCAGGAGTGAGCCAACGGTGACTCCTTGCCTGTGGCTTGGAGGCTACTGCTGGGCCTTCCCTTCTGACGCTGTGTCAACAGCCACGCCGTTCCCATCTTCAGTCTGTCAGTCACGTGGCAGGAGCAAGGATGACCGGATAGGGGCCATCTCATCCCTTTCTGCAGGGGCTGCACCCTACAGGAGCTGCAGCCATGCCTTGCCTTGCTCACCTGCAGCCCTGCTCAGTGATGGTGCCTGATACCACCCCCTGGGCTCCTTCTGGAGGGAGATATGGCCATTAGCCAAAACAATGCTGTCTTCAAAAGTGTTGCATTGTTTCCTGCTGCTTCTGTAACAAAGTACCAGAAGCTGGGCAGCTTGAAGCAGAAATCTTTTCTCACAGCTCTGGAGGCCAAAACTCTGAAATCAAGGCAGGGCCGTGCTGTCTCCAAAACCCCAACAGAGAATGTTTCATGCCTCTCTCTTAGCTTCTGTGAGGTTGGCAGTCCCCGGTGTTATTGGCTTGCAGATGTATCTGTCTGGTCCCTGCCGCTATTGACACAAAGCATTTGCACTGCATCTGTGTCCCTCTGTTATGAGGACACCGGTCATTGGACATAGGGCCCACCTAATCTACTGGCTTCATCTTAACTTCGTTTTATCTACAGAGACCTTGTTTCCACCAAGGCCACATTCACAGCTACCAGGGTTTCAGAGGACCTCAGTATGCTTTTGGAAGGGGCTCGGTTCAGCTCAGAACAGATTTTGTTTTGTCTCCAAATCCCATCAGTCTCTACCCCGTCTCAGCTACCCGTTAGGTCTCTAGAGGCCCAGGACATAGGTGGAGACCACCTGTCCTTTTACCCCACCTGCTCCCAGTTGACCCCTTGCAGAGTGGGACAGACGCTGGCTTTAATGGTCAAGGGCGGAGGGAAGGGACATGGCTGGAGATGCTTTTTCTGCTTTGGGGCTGGGCAGCGAGGAGACAGAGGGTACAGGAATGGGCAGTGGGGAAGGCAGAGATGACTGCACATTTTCTGCTCCTTTCTTGTGGAAGATGACATTGCCTTTACAGAGGTGCAGATTGAGGGCTCTGAAAAGAACCTCAGGGCCCAGGACCCCTCATTCCCACACGGGAGCTGTGGGGCCTGCCAGGAAGAGTATCTGCCTGCTGCTGGAGTTCTGAGTTTGAGTTTTGGCTGCACTGCTTTCGATCTTTGTGTTCTTCACCTAATTTAGGTTTTAGGGGGCTCAGCTTTCTCATCTGTCAAATGGGATAATAATAATCGCTTGTCAGACACACAAATTTTTCAGATTTTTGTGAAGACTAAATGATAAAGATGGATGTGAAGGTACCATCTTAAAGATCATGGTGGCAAAATCACATAAACTGTACTTACCATTTTCACCATTTTAAAATGTATGACTCGGTGGCACCATCCTCTTTGGGAATTTTTCACCATCCCAGACCAGGAAGGTGCCATTGAAGTGATAAACAAAGAGTCATTTTCATTCATTCAGTGAAGGACACCGAGTGCCTGAGAAGCAAGGGACTTGCTCACGGTCTCCAGTGAGAGGGCAGAGCTGAGCTGAGAGCGCTTGTCCCTGGATTCTATGACCTTCCGCCAGCTGCAGGGGGCTGAGACACATGCATGAGGCCTCAGGGGTCAGATGCTACAGAGGGGCCCTCCCTCCCAAACCCTTTGCCAGCACTGGGGGGCCTCCAGGCAAGAAGAATTTCTGCAGAAGTAGACAGATTCCTCCTGGTGCCCTTGGGCCTGCATGGTGGTGGGTCCTCTCCATGGGCACTGACACTGTCCCTGGGAAGCCTGGGCTCTCTCCTTGCTCAGGCTAGGTCAGTGTCTCTCTGTCTGTTGTCCCCTTGTCCCTCTACATGTCCCTTTCTCAAATGGGACACAGTTCCAGTGGAGAACCAGGGGAGCTGAATTCGGGGTGAACTTGAGGATTGCTTTGTGAGGTCCCTTATGTGTCAAGAGCCTGGGGAGAGGCCAGGTGACCTGGGTCCTCCCTGTGAATCCTGGCTGACACTGGTTTCTGAGGTCCCACTCTGTGATCATTACTGGGACAGTGCCAGGGAACAAGGCCTTGTCACCAGTTCCCAGATCTGTGTGAGACTTAGAGGATGTGACGTAGAGGCCACCCAGCCAAGGATACTCACCTTCCAGCCAGAACATGGGGTAAGGAGGAAGGAGGAATGGGGGCTGTCATTAACGTTAGACTTGGGTGCCTCGTGCTTCATGTAATGTGCTCTTCATGTTCAGCTCTGGGGCTGGGGACTGGGGACAGACATGGCCTTGAAGCAGCTCCTGGCTGTGTAGGGAGCGCAGAGCTGTGTGTAGTGGTTAAGCTGCAAGTCAGAGGAATGGGTGGTGGGCTGCCGCAGTGCCCAGGGATGGACAAGGCAGTACTGCTCAAAGGGATTGCGGAGGTGGTGGAAAGGTGGCAGGGGGCTTTGCTCCGATATGATACCCAAGAGCCAGGTGGGAATGCCTGTAAGATGTCACTAAAGAGACTCCGCTCCTCTCTGGGGCTGGCTCCTTTGACAGATCCTATGAGGTGGCTGGGGCGGGGATTACTGGACCTGTTCTTCAAGTGGGAAGAGTGATGTGTAGAGGAACTTGGGCGACATCACCCAGCAGCGTGGCCAAGCCGGAAGCAGGGCCCAGCTCTCCTGCCCTGGCCCTGGCACTCTGCTCCCCCAGCCTGGGCCCTTGTCATGGACAGAGCCACCGAGAGCATGGCGTTGCTGTCCCTTTTGGGGCCCTTTTTGTCATTTGTCGCTGGGCTTTTCTGTCCTCTACTTGCTCTCAGCTGGAGGACCTTAACATTTGGTTCCCCATTAAATGGTAAACGTTTCCCTCTTCCTGGCATCCTCAGCCCAGCCGGGGGAGCAGCGGGGGGAGCTGCTGTGCCTCTGGCTGGCAGAGGAGGCGTGAAGGCCACCACACTAAACTCCTGTCCTGTTGGGTCTCGTCCTGATGCAGGTCCCGGCTGGCGGACTTCCATACCAACTGTCGAGCCTCCTACCGCACACTCACCAGCTGCCCTGCCGACAACTACCAGGCGTGTCTGGGCTCCTATGCGGGCATGATCGGTAAGCTCTTGCGTTGTCTGCACTTGCCGAGACCTCTTACTGTCCCAGCATCAAAGGGCAGGTGCCACGGTCCAGCTCAGAGCTGGTGGGAGTCAGGCTGAGTTCGGCCTTCTCTGTGGCAGATTCAGACAGAGATTTTGAGGCGGGCTAAAGGAGAGCCAGCTCTTCATGAAAGAGGGGGTTGGGGAAGGCCCCAGAGGCCTTTTAAGCCTTTGGAAATAAGAAAAGGAGACACCTGTTGCATGGTTCTGACATTGTAGGTTCTGTCTTACTGGGTTCTCCCTGCATGTCTTAACTAGAAAGGTGTAGGTGTTTCCATTTTACAGATGGGGAGACTGAGGTTAGAGAATGGAGTAGCTTGCCCAGGCTCAGCCAGCTGTTAGACACCAGCACTGGGACCCAACCCAGGGTGGGCACCTTTGTCTTCCTGGCTCTAGAGCTGGACATTCTCCACTTGCTGGTGAGGGCGAAAGCCGCCTGGAGCGGGCAAGGCTGTGGTGTTTTCCTTGCTGTCCTGGTGATGAGGAGCCTGGTGTCCTTGAAGGCTTGGCCCTCTGTCCCTGCAGATTGGGAGGTCCCTGGGATAACAGTGCTCAGTTAGGATGGCAGGGTGTGTGTGTGTGTGTGTGTGTCTGTCTGTCTGTCTGTCTCCGGGGCAGGGGGACTCCCTGCCCTGTTGTGCCTGACATTGGGGGCTCAGAGGAAAGGCTCTCCTCTCCTCTTTCCTTTCCCTCCCTCTCTCCCCACCCAGGGTTTGATATGACCCCCAATTACGTGGACTCCAGCCCCACCAGCATCGTGGTGTCGCCCTGGTGCAGCTGTCGCGGCAGTGGGAACATGGAGGAGGAGTGTGAGAAGTTCCTGAGGGACTTCACTGAGAACCCGTGCCTCCGTGAGTTAGGGAGCGCTCTCCCCGTCCCCTGGTGCCCAGGACACCCTGCTTCCCGCCTGCTCCCTGGGAGGGGACCTGGACTTACCTTCCCCGGCTATTTGTTGCTCCTTCCTTTGTAATGGCCACCATGGGTGCTGTCTGCAGGGACCCTAGGTCTTGAGCTCTAGGAGATTCACAACTGAGGTCAGTGTACCTGCTTCAGTTTATCACCAGAGTCCTTGAGCCTATGTCAAGCCAAGGGCCAAAACTTTTGTTATTTATTTTTTTGAGACAGGGTCTCACCATATGTAGTTCAGGCTGGCCTTGAATTTCTTTGTAGCCCAGGCTGGCCTCAAACTCACGGTGATCCTCCTGCCTCAGCCTCCCAAGTGCTGGGATTACAGGTGTGCACCACCACACCTGGCACGTTTCTGTTATTCTGACAGGTTCAGTCAGGTTTCTTTGGAGACTGAGCCCTCCCATAAGGCTCTCAGGTACCTGCCACCTTTCCTTCTGACAAGTCTTTTTCCTGGAATCTGTGACTTTCTTTTAAATAACTCCTCATCCAAAATCTGGAGAGAGAGTGAAGCCGTAGTCAAGCTCGGTCTGCTGTGAGCTTTGCAGTTGGACACCCCTTGCTGGACTCGCCATCTGCAGGTCTCTTCCCTCTTTCTTTGCTTCTTCCTGTCTGTCTGTCCATCCATCTTCTTCCTTCCTTTCTGCTTGGCACTGGGGATTTGGAGGTAGAAGTTCCAGCGCCTGTCACTGAGGAGCATGCAGCCCAGGGGAGGTAAGCTTAGGGTTCCCTGCGATCACAGTGCAGGGTGAGGCGTCTGAGGGTAGTTTTGCATGGGGCTCTTCAGGGGCTCTGGTGGGGCCACCACACCAGCCAGGAGAGGGCGGCCTGAAGACTTCTGAGAGGCTGTATCCCTTGAAGATAGTTGGGTCTTGTCAGTTGAAGAGGCAGGGAGCTCCTCCTGGTCTCTCCTGGCAGGGTCCAGTCCTCTGCAGAAGACAAATTTGTTGAGGGAACTGTGAAGTACACAGCGCTGAAGGGGACTGAGATGACAGCTATCTGGGCAGGCAGAGAGCATCCTCCCCTTGAAGACCTGTGGGCTGTGGATTTTTGGGTTCTGCAGGTGGCACTGGGTACAGGATGGCTGAAAGATGCCAGCAGGTGATCTCCCAGGTTGTGATGTGGAGGCCCCTGGGGTGAGGTATAGGATTCTGATGGGTGGTGCAATAAAAAGGGTCCCATAAGAAGGCTGTAATGACGCTCAGGGCAGAGGACAGCAACGACTGTGAACAGAGCAGTGGGAGGGGAGTGGTGACAAGGTGGAGTGCAAGGATCTTCAGGAGGTGGCCTTAATTAACTGCCGGTGGGTGGACGGGGAGGCACCTTGGGGCGGCCCTCTCTTGTCCCCCTGGATTTCTGTCTTTCTGTCTTGAGGAACCCGGGTAGATAGAGATGACATCTTCAGGATCAGCAGTACAGGGGAGGGAATTGTTGGCCATGGTGGGAAGAGATGCCTCGTCCAGGTGCATGCAGGAGGACTTTGAAGTGCCTGTGGGACGTGCAGGTGAAGATTTCTGTGTAGGATCGAGTGGCCCCCAGTGAGTGAGTGCCAGCTGACAACGTGGAGGTGGAGATGCTGCCGCGGGGAAGTTGATGGTGTGGAGGGGGAGGAGGGCGAGTCTGGAGCCCTTGAGATGCCAGCAGTGGGGACCCGGAAGCACTCAGGTCAGCGAGTGAGTGGGACCGTCTGTGCTGAGGGAGCCGTGGCATGGGGCGGAGCTTTTCCAGGACAGTCTGCGGCACGATGGCCCTGCCGCACAGCCCTGCCTCCCTCCAGGTTCCCGCCCATCTCCCTTCACACTTCCTTCTTTCCTTCCTCTCCTCTGCTGTGGTCCTTGTCATGTGCATTTACTCCATTGTGGTTTAAGTCTTTTCCTACCTCCCTCTGGTCATTTTCCCCTCTAGATGTGAACTTCTGCAGGTCTGAAATAAATTCGATGTGCTACCGTCTGTCCCCAGCGTCTGGGTTGTTCCAGGGAAGAGCAGTCAAGGTGGGGAGCTGGGGCAGAAGGCATGGAAACAGGTCCTGATTTTCCGATGTGTCTGTCCCTCCATTCCCCAGGGAATGCCATCCAGGCCTTTGGCAATGGCACAGACGTGAACGTGTCCCCCAAGAACCCTCCATTCCAGGCCACCCAGGCCCCTCGGGTGGAGAAGACTCCTTCTTTGCCAGATGACCTCAGTGACAGCACCAGCCTGGGGACCAGTGTCATCACCACTTGCACATCTGTCCAGGTGAGGGCTCTGCAGCTCGGAACTGGAGCCAGAGTGGGCTGAGAGTCCGGGCAAGCACTGTGGTGTTAGGAGCCGTATGAGACCCATCCAGGGGGGCAGGGAGAGCACTGAAAGTCCTCCTTTAGGTCAGGGCCCCACGAGGAGGAAGGAGCTGGTGGGGCTGTTCTCTGTTCAGTCATCTCGGAATCCGTCTTGCAAGTATGGAACACCTGTTACGGCACAGTATGGTACTAGACACCACAAGGGTACCAGAGTAGTGTCATGGTTCCCATTTACCAGCTATTTGCTAATTGCCAGGTAGTGTCTTGGCTAATTCTCTTTCTGTCTCATTGTATTCCTACACAGTGAAATGTTGGTATTCTTGTTTTTAGAGAGATTAGATCATATATCTAAGGTCACATGGCTGACTAGTTATGGACTGCCATTTCAAACCTACATCTGACTCCAAAGCCCCTGAGATTCATTTGTTTGTCTGATCTTCCAACCTTCCTTCCATCCATCCACCCATCCATCCATCCACCCATCCACCCATCCACCCATCCACCCATCCACCCATCCACCCATCCACCCATCCACCCATCCACCCATCCACCCATCCACCCACCCACCTACTCATGCTCCACAGGTTACATGTAGGATGTTATATGAGATTCTGGGGATACCTTGGCGGGTGAGGACAACACAGTCTTGGATTTGTGGTTCTGTGGTCTTGTTGAAGGTTAGACCACGAAATAAGCATCAGTCAGTACCATGACAGGAGACATGTGGCACTACGGGTGTGCAGCTTGGGCTCCCGCTCAGCCTCTCCTTCCACTAAGCTGCCCTCCTACTATCACACCACGGACTGTAGTAAGTTCTCCACTGAAGAGATTGGTTAGGCAGGCCGTACATAGGCACACATGCACACACACACTCATGTGTGAACACACATGCCTGTAACAAAGAATTTAGGGCAACATATGAGGGAGCGGAGAGGAGGCAGGGAGCGGCGAGGTCATGGGTAGTGGGCACAGGGGCTGTTTCAGACTGAGCAGGTTGGTTGGGCCCGAAGGACATCAGCAGGGGCCCAGCCTGTATGCAGTTGCAGGGGTCAGGAGCTGGTTGGTGTGAGACAGTGGGCACCCCTGTCTGAATGGGAGGTGAGCTCCTAGGATCAGCAGTGTCTGCTGCTCATACTGCCACTGTGGACTTGAGTAGGGCACTCCTGGACACCCTGGACACCCATCACAGCACAGTTCCCTCCCTGGTGGGGCCCCCTGCTCAGTGACAGCTGGCCTCCAAGTACCTCCAGTCTGGTGACCACGGTCTGGCAAGGTCTGCCTATCCATCTGGGCCTTTACAGGCTGCCACAGGGCACCCTTGCTCCAGAGTCCCTCGGGGCCAGTGCACCTGAGGAGCTGCTGACCCGCCAGGAGGATCCCCCAGCATGCCCACATTCTTGCTGGGATTCCTTGTAGCCCCAGAGAAGTTCAAAGCCCTCACCCTGTGCCTTTCAGTGCTTTTGGACTCTGAGTCCTATTTTTTTCCTGTTGTCTCTCAGCAGGTTACTAAACCAGCATCACTTGGTGTCTTCCCCACAGCCTGGCTTTCTGTAGGCTCTGGTTTGGGGCCTTGTCTTAGCCTTGGTTTGGCTTCAGGAGAGATGGTGGATGGATGACCTGTATGGGAGATGATGTTATAAAAATTCTTCATAAGCCAAGAGAATCTGCCCAAAAGTTAGGTGTTACAGCTCCTGCGGGCTGGGGAGGCTGCCTGGCCAAGGTCCATGGGGATGGCCGTCCAGAGAAGGAAGGGAGTCAGACTCTCAGAAGAGACCCCACTTGCCATTACTCCCCTGTGCCTTCTCCGAAGTGCCAGGGGCAGGGCCCTGATTCTGTTTCAGTGACAGTCCTTTAAGGAGGGGCTGCTCTACCATGCCAGGTGGTGGGAGCATAGTGTGAGTAAGCCCTCAGTCCTGCCCCAGCTCAGCTGGAGGTGGTATGGGTGCCTTGCCTCACCCTGGCCTGCACCCCTATTCTGTCCATCAGCTCCCTTAGCTTGGAATGTCTCTGATTGATGGGCTCTGGGGTGGCCCTGATGGAGCCCTTTGGAGTTATGGGAACCCTTGGCTGTGGGAAGGGTCCTTAGAGCAGAGACAGGAAACTGTGGCCTGGGTTGCGGGGAGGCATGCACCCCAGTTACGGCTTGGAGAGAGCAAAACCATTTTTCCTAGCTCTGCCCTCCTCTGTCCTTCCTCTTTCCTTGGGAAAGGATTAGGGTCCCCTAGAGATGACAGTCCAGTAGGGACTCATGTGGGTTTCTAGGTGTTAGAACTGGAAGGATTCGCTAAGATTCCCATCTTAAACCCAAGGAGAAGGAGGCCCGGCGGGGCCAGTAACTTGTCCACAGTTCTATAGCCAGTTGGTAGCTGGGCAGGGCCCAGTAGTGGGCCCCTGGCTACCCTGTGGCTCTCCTCAAATCTGTTCATTTCAAAGGACTTTCCTGTGGTGGGTGGATATGGGACTGAAGAACTCCCATCCCTACTGGGGCCTGCTGGGCAGAGATGCTGGCACTGGCATCTGATGCACCATGGGAGAGCCAGCATAGCCCTGAGTTGGCACTGATGTAATCTCAGATCCACTGTCAGAACCACTCTTCTTGCCTGTACACCTGTCTGGGGCTCTCTGGAACTTGGAGAGCACCTGGTAGGGTCTGAGGTGCTCTCCTGGGCTGCTCTGCTGCCTGTCCATGTTTGTATCTGGTGTGAATGTCCACCCTCCCCTCTGTTCACTGGTCCCCAGAGTGGGGATCTGGGAGGCAGGCCTATCTCAGACACTCACCCAAAACCTTTGTTTCTGGAGCCTGGGGAGGGTAGGCACCCGCGGAATGGGCCTGGGATGTGTGAGCGAGACACTGGCCTGGGCACATGCCAGTTTGCTTTGACACAGGCCTCTGCCCCTCCTCTCCATCCCTCTGCCCAGCGAGTCCTCCTCACATGTCCCCTCTCAGGGTTGTCTTTCTTGATTCTGTCCATGCCACCTTGCCCTCTGCCTGCTTTGGGCTCCTGTTTTGCCCTGTCATCATCTGGGCCCCATCCTGTGTGCTCTCTTCCCTCCTGGGCCAGTGTCTCTGGAAGCCTGGGTGGAACATGCCCCTTCTGTGTCACCCTGCAGAGCCAAGTACACAGGGCCTGGCATGGAGCAGGTGTGCTGCCCAGGTTAGAGGAGAACTGAGAGTCCCCAGCTTGCTTGGTTTTTCAGAACTCACTGCTGTCTTCTCTAACAGGGTCTGGGTGTCTTCTCAGCAGCTCTGTGCCCAGTTCCCCGCCCCTCCTGGATGTCCTCTGGGTGCATAGAGCCGGGAAAGGGCAGGGTGCAGACAGTTTTGTGTTGACAGTGTGGAAAGATTGGTCAGGAGGCCTTTGGTGTTGTGGCGACACCTGAATCAGGGCTTACAGTGCGGATAAGGGAAGACTAGTAACGTCTAGGACTTTGCCTGGCCAGGGCCTCTTCCCCCATTCCTGACATTCCCCTTGGGTTGCTCTGGGCTCAGAATGCCCGTCTGCAGGGCCCCCTTGGGTCAGTGGGACACTCGCCCTTCCTAGGACTGGGGAGCACTGGTGACATTCCTCCTTGCCTCTACCAGCCACTTTCACCTCTTACGTGTGACGCTACCGGTCCCATGTTGGGACATTTAGAAATGAGTTTGAAGGGGCTACCAAAAGTCTCTCACTTCATGCTTGAAGCAACTTCAGCAGCCAGCAGCCACCTCTGTCTCCTTCCTCATCCTCTCTGCTGTAGGGATGGGTGTGGCACCCAGCACATAGTGGCCCGTTAGTACATGTGCTCATTTATTCAGTGCAAAGTCTTAATGCCTGTCACCTGTCCCGGGCACTGAGGCTGAAAAGCTTAATCATCCTTTACCCTGGCCCTTGTACAACTGCTTTCAAGGGAGAAGACTGTCACACCAGGAGGACTGAAGAGGCGAGGTCCTGGGAGGGAAGGATGCTTTTTAAACCAAGAGTGGTGGAAACCGAGGACTCATGACAAAGGAAAACCTTCTTTCAAGCCTGAAAGGATAGGGACAGTTGATTGTGGAGCCTGGAATCGGGTTGGAGTGTGTGAGGGCCTCCCAGGCGGAGGGGCAGGTGGTAGCGATGCTGGAGTCAGCACAGCATAGGGAGGTGTGTTGCATAGGGGTCCCTGCCTGTTTTATAACGTGGGTGTCCCTGGAACACAGCCCCGCCTTTTGTTCGCCTGTCTTCTGTGTTGCGGGGAGAGCTGTGTGGTGGTTGTGGCAGAGACTCTGTCTTGCAAAGTATAAAATGGTTGCTTGTGGCGTTTTATAGAAAACATGCACAGGGCCCTGGCCCTGGCCAGGAGGAGATGCGGCCATCGGTTTGGGTGGGGCACAGCGCTTGTATGGGAAGGAGACGGGGTGCGCATGTGATGTACAAGCTGGAGTGCTAGCAGCAAGGCCCAGGATGCCCTGGACAAGGGGGTGTTGAGTCTGATCAGAACTGTGGCTGTCGGGGGTTAATCGGACAGAGGTGGAGATTTGTTGGCAGGGGAGAGAGATTGGAGTCAGCAGGACAGCTTAGGAGACCCTTTCACTATCTGGAGGTGAGAGGTGTGATGTGGGAAGGACAGGGAGGAGGAAGAGTGGAGAGTCACAGGAGCGGGAATGCATAGGAGGGACGGGCCTGGTGATGGGCTTAGGTGGACGCAGGAGGCCAGGGGCACTGGGAGTTGGGGTTGGGCCCAGGAACCGAAGCAGGGAACATGGGCAAAGCCCGCCCGCCAGCCAGCCATCTAGATGGACAGCATTGGACTGTGCCAGGCCAGCAAGGTCCTGAGACTGCCAGCCTGGCCTTTGGGGGACAGTGTAGGGACAGAGGGTGGAAGCAAACTAGAGGAAGACAGTAACTTCCGACTTCTTGAGCAAAGGGGCCTCTATGGGAGAAAGCTCTAGAAGGATGAAGCTTGCCTTGCTGTTGCCCTTGCTCCTGTCAGGAGGCGTAGCACAGCCCCTAGGGTCAGTCCTTCCCACAAGGTTCCTCTGCCTGCCACTGTGTTACAGGGATTGCTGCCAGAAGCCCTGTGTCCTAGCAACCTGGGCCTGTGCCCTCGGCGCCGTCACCCACAAACCCTGAGCCTACCTCAGAGGGCTGAGAGCCTCAGTGTAGGGGCTGGGCGGGGCCTGGAGTAACCCAAGGAGGTAAGCCTCTCAAGTGCAGGGCTGAGGCTCATTGAGGGGAGATGGTTCCCCAGGTGATGAAGGAGGTCGGCAGTGGGTCTGAGTCCTGGGTGTTTGCATCAGGTGGTGGAATTTCTTTCTCTGCACGTCCGTACGCATGTGCCACTTTCAGAAAAGTCCACTTCTGGTCAGCTGCCCCCATTGTGAAGGCTGGGTTGGCTGTCAGGCGAGGTTACTGAGGCCTGCACTGTCTGCTCCATGTTTTCTGGAAATCTCGTGGGGTGGAGACTTCTCCAACCCTTTGCTTCCCAAGCTGTCATCTGCTGCAAAGAGGCTGCAGAAGGCTGGGAAGAGGTGGGAGGCTGGCTTCCTGGTGGCTCACCTCCTGGCCCCTTCCTGGCCTCTGTGCCGCCTTGCTCCTGGGCTCTGCCTTGGGGCAGGGTGGGCTTGGTTCTGTTTCCTGCTTCCTGCAGTTGGCCGTGAGCCCTTAGCTTTGTGGGGAGCTCTGCTGTCATCAGGGTAGCTTGTTACATCTCTCTTTAATAGATGAGGAAACAGGCTCAGTACACTTGCCCTGCGTCATTACAACAGCCAGACTTGGGCCCAGAGCTCTGGCCTCTCAAGCCCTTTGCTGCTTATTCTGTTTTTGGGTGACCTCAGATGAAGGGGCTGTCCTGTGGACACCAAGTGTTAGGATCCCACAGTGTAGACAATGAAAGGCTGCACTGGGGCTGTGTGGACAAAAACCCATACACCAATCTGGCAGCATCTGAAGGAAGGGTTCAGAGCGGCATTGGAGGCCAGTGTATACCTTGCACCCAGTGCTATGGCCGTTCAGCCCTGACTCAAATGTCCCTAGGCTCAGAAGGACTCTCTGTCCCCTCTCAGGTTCCCTGTGTAAGCTCTTCCAGCATCCCTGCCCCTCTCCCTTCTTGGGAGGAACCTGTTGGGTCCTGCTCGCTCCCGAGCAAAGTGCAGGCCTAGGCCAGGTGTTCCAGGGGGCATCGGCCTTCAGATATTATCTCAGCACACCTGGTGGAGCTGGTGAAGGACATGCTGTGCTTTGGGATCGGGGGCTTTGTGTGCTCCTCCGTGTGGGCTGAGCTTGGGGTAGCACTCTGCTAAACTGGCAGTGTCTAGCTGAGGACCTGCCTGAGAGCTGGCATCCGCTGTCACGGAATGTTGTGCTAGTCCTGTTTTAGAGGATAGCTAGTGTTGTTGTTTTGTCAAGCTGTATTTTTTTTTAAGCAGTACGCTTTTTAAAAAATTTATGTGTAAGTTCTCTGTGTGGAACAAATGAAAAAGGAACAGCTTTGGTTCCTTTGGTTGAAATGGGATAGGATCTCAAGTCCTGGGGGGATGTCTGCTTCTGTGATTCTACAAGGGCTCCATCTTTAGCAAGCACCGTGGGAAGTGGGAACACAGACACCGCCCCCAAAGGGTCTGGACAGCACTGGCACAATTAGACAGTTACACCAGGAAGTGACGCCAGAGATAAGTAGGTGCGAGTGATGCACGTCACAGATGGCGACTGCTGCGACTGAATGAGGATTGGTGGAGGGGCGGGAGAGGGCAGATGGGATATGGTGATAATGGCCTCTGAGGTGGGATGTCACGTTCTGGTCCCTGCAGTGGCCTCTCATGTCTCTGGTTAGAGTGGCACTGTGGTCCCAGGATCCAGTCCTTGGGGCTGGAAGCGTGACCTTGTGCAGAGGGACACAGTTGGTGGGTTGGCTGGGCTATAACTTGGCACTTGGAGACATGAGTATTGTAGTCTTGAATAAGATCCTCCAGGGCAGGATCTGGTTCTATTCCTGCTGCACTAGTCATCACGACGGTCCTATCTCCACCATTGGCAATGACTCTACTCTTGGCCGGGGTCTTTTTGTGACAGCTGGGACCTTGTTTAGCTGACCAGATGTCCTGGGTGGTCGATTGCCTATAATGTCCAAGGCATTATTGATATGTTTGGCCAAGAGCAATGATTTAGGCATAATTTCTTGGGCTTCTCAGTTGCTTTTGGTGGCCAAAACTTCTCCACAAGTACCATGGGAACTAAGCTATTTGATGCCAGGATAGAAGCACCGCATCCCCAGCTGGTTCCCATGGATCTTTATTATGATGATGCTAGCAAAGGACTGCTTTTTGTGCACAGCCTCCCTGTATTTGTGCCAGGGTAGAGAATTCTGGAACCCTCATCACATCAAACTTTCTTTCCCATTCCTCATCCATCCAAAGATGTCCCAGGTGCTGCACATCTGTTTGGGGTGGGAATGGCCTGGCAAAAATGCCCAATATCTCCCTAACATGCACCAGTGCAGACATTACTAATCGATCATAGCTCTCTTTCCTCTTGAGTCCAGATGAGGACTTACGATCTTTCTCCATAAAGCTCAAGCAACAAAGGCAAATAATGGAAGCTGGCAGCCAGATGCCATTTCTGATAGGTAGCATCCATTCATATATTCATTCATGCATGCATCTAGTAAAACATTGATTGAGTTTCTGTTATAAGCTAAACACCACTCCATGCAAGGAAAAGAAACCTGGTCTCTGCCTTTGAAGAGCTCTGAGTGTGTAGACAGACATGGAAGTGGTTGATTTACTACGAAATGTTGTGAACTGGAGAGTAAGGCCTAGAACTGTGTTTTCAGGAGCCCAGAGCATCCAGAGTCTAATTGTTGAAGATTTCAGAAGGGGCAGGGCCTTTTGTGCTGGGTGGGACCAAGCCAGTGCTGTTTGTTATGTGCTCTGTCTTTGTGATGCCAATGGAGAATGCAAGGGCCTTATCTGAGCTGGACAAGGCCTGGCCTTGAAAAGCCTGGTGACTTGGACTTACTCTTGCCTTCTCTCCCACAGGAGCAGGGGCTAAAGGCCAACAACTCCAAAGAGTTAAGCATGTGCTTCACAGAGGTGAGTAGGGGCAGCATGGGGGAGGGTACAGGAGACCGGGCCAGAGCAGGCTATTTCCTAGGTGAGCCTTGCACTCAAAGCCCCTGAATCCCATTGCACAAGTCTGGACAGCTGAAATTCTGGTCCCACCTGGACTTGCATAGGTGTCAATCTGCTGGTGTGGCTTTCGGGGAGTACAAAGGCTGCAGTTAGAACCTGTGGCTGCCTCCCCCAAGGAGTGGCTACTTTGAGCAGAGGCCCTCTCACACTTTCCTTGCTCTTTAAAAGCTGCTCAGGGCTGGGTCAGTGATATTTACAAGGTACAGGGATGAATGAAGACCCAGCCTTTATCTTGAAAGAGTCCATCCACCTAGGAGTCTTTGTGACTTACAGATTCAAGGTGGTAACTTGAGTGGGAAGAGGCCAGATAAGGTTCTGCAGGAGCGGGAGAAGCTCAGGCAGGCTTCTGGAGGAAGAGGCATCATACACATTAGGAACAGGGAGAAGGTGGACTCTCTTTCCTCTCCTGTATCCTGTAGACTCGGGTCCTCCAGGTCCCCAGGCCTTCTTCTCTTGGGGTCTCTAAATGTCTCCCTCATCAGTCCCGATACACTGCCCACCTCCTGCACCTGAGACCTCAGAGCCTGGAAGGGGCCACTTGCCCCTGTCCTTCTGCCCTGCCCAGCCCCATGGAAACCTAGTTCTACCTCTGAGTGCCAGGGAGGGTCCTCTGGGTGGTCTGAAAGGTGGGGCTGGAGGTGGGTGGTTTGTGATTCCAGCCTTGCTGAAGGGTTTTGTTGTTGTTGTTGTTGTTGATATTGTCGTTCTCTCTGTGTTTCTGCTTCTGCTATGGACTCAGCTCACGACAAATATCATCCCAGGGAGCAAAAAGGTGATCAAACCTAACTCAGGCCTCAGCAGAGCTCGACCAATGGCTGCCTTCACCGTGCTCCCCCTCCTGATGCTGAAACTGGCCTTGTAGGCTCTGAGGACTGCGTTGAGAGATTTCTACAAGCTATAGAACTCCCACCTGAGAAAATGGAAAGTCACCCACTCTCACAGACACACACACACACACACACACACACACACACACCTTGCAAAAAAATTTTTTTTTCCCACCTTGTCTCTGAACCTGTCTCCTCCCAAGTTTCTGCTGTGGAGAAGTTTTTCTAAACCAAACAGACAAGCAGGCGGACAGCCTGAGAGCCAGCCCAGAGGTCCCCTGGCAAGGGACATCCAGTGCCGAGGAGGGTGCAGGCTCTAGAAATGCCCTTTATTGTCTCCAGTGTTTTTATCTCTGGACCCTTCTGAAGCAAGAGACCACGGCGAGACTGCTGGTGTGGAAGGGACTGTGCTGTGCCTGATGCAGGCTGGGGACAGGACACCTGCAGCTGCTCTCTCCAGCTGCCCACTCTGAGGACCTGCCAGGGTCTGGAAGTGGGCGTCGGTCAGTGGAGAAGCAGGGCTGGCCATGTGGTCCTGCTGGGCCCGGTCGGCCCCTCCTCTTGCCTTCAAAGATGGAGATGATTTGCTTCCCTCTCTGCCCTCTGGTAGCTGGGTGGGGCTGTCTGATGTGGGAACTCCATGGCTGCACTGGGTCCCCCGACTGTAGCGTGGGTGGGGGGCCTAGGGCCAACTCCAGGGGGCGCCTGGGAGGCCAGCTCTAGGCTATGTTTTCCTTCCTAGTGGCAGGAATTTTAAAGTCAGATATGATGCTTTACTGGCTTGATTTCTTTGGATCCATTTGGTGGGGCTTCCCTTGGGAGAGGGGCCGCAGAGGCGGGCAGAACAGACCGAGGTGAGACGAGTGTCACTACACCGTCTGGTCTCTCGAGCTCTCTCCTCTCCTGACCCCTCTCCTGGTTTCCACTTTCTGCATTTCCAAGACACACGTCAACTGTCTGTACATGATGAGGTTCCTTTCTCAGTGTAGGTGTATATACACATCCGTATACATATATCCTGTGATCTCCTTTCTCTTTCCTTTTTCTAAGAAACAAAACTATCAAAATAATACCCCACAGATGAGCGAAAATGTATTATTGTAAAGTTTATTTTTTTTAATAATGTTGTCTATAATGGAAAAAAAAATGGAAATGGACTCCTGGAGCCCCGCTCCAGTTGGGCTGATGGGGCTGTGGCCGGGGACTCCTGATCCGCACTCACTTAACCAAGGCTCCAATAAACGTACTAGGAAGCAAGCTGCCTTCTGCCTCACTGCCATATGCCTTCCGCCCGGTGGCCTTGGTGCCACTTGTTGGGGGGCTACCTGAGGTTCCTTCACTGCCTGGGGAAGTTTGTGTGCATGTGTGTATGTGAGTGTGTGCACGCATGTGTGTGCACACTTGTGCCTTGTCCATAAGTCCCACTGAGGATGGATGGATGGCGCTCCCAGTGGAGATGGTTTTACACTGGGCGGGCCTGAGGGTCCCTGCCATACTGAGTTTGAGGTCCCTTTGCCTATTCCACCTGCTTCATCTTCATCAGTATCAGAGCCTGCTGTTCCTGGACTGGAAGAGAGAGAGCAACGAGAGGTGGGTGGGAGGAAGAGAGAGCCTGGCTCCACACCTCTGGTATGATTTGGTCTCCAGGCAGCCTGAGTGGCCCTGTCTGTTTTCTGTACAGTGACGTCCTTCCTAGGACTCTTGCTCTACTTGAGGTATGTGATTATGAAGACAGGCACCTGGCCCTTTGGGTCTAGAGAAGGGAGATGACTGTTTCACGGTCAGAGTTCCTTTCTACCCCTTCCTTCCCTCTTTCTCCATTTGTACCGGCTTGGACACTGGGTTGGCTGTGACCTCCCAGGGGGCTGCTCCCCAGAGAGCACCAGGAGGATGCCTCCTGCTGGAAAGTGTATGTGTGCACACGTATGCAGCTGTGCACGTGTCCATGTGCACATGAGTGTGTGCAGGCAGCAGGAGGGAGGGTGGACTGGCCTATGCCTTCAGGGCTGCATGTGATCCCATTCTGTCACCGTCAAGTGATGGGGTGACATTTTCTATCCTCCTGATTCTGGGTCCACCCCTTGTTTCTGGTTGCACATGTGTTAGTAGCATCTGTTCACAGCGGGGCACTGTGCTGTATTATGTGCCTGGAGGTGGGACAGTCAGCCAGCCAGCTCTTTGCTGCCATGGCTGGCCTTCCTGTGGACAGATGTGGTCTGATGTCACCTGGGAGGTCATGTTCCTGCAAATGGCTGAGACTGGTTGGCCCAGACAGTAATTCACTGCAAGTGTGTGTGGGCAGGTGGCTCATAGCATCGGGGGGAGGACCAGGGCACTGGGACCGGAGGACAGCTGAAGGTCTACAGGGCAGGATCCGTATCCATCCATGCGCTGCTGCCTCCATGATGAATGGCCACCAACTGGCTGAAGTGGCCATTGTACCTCCCCCACCCATCTTTGGTTGTGAGAAGGATATGTCACGCCTGGTGTTCCTAATAGGAAGCAAGCCTTGGGCAACATAATGGGGTGTGTGGGGATGTCTCACAAAGAAATCAAGGTGTCACTATGAAGGAGGAATGGATACAAGGCAGTTTTACTCTACCTTCAAATGCCTCCCCATCCATTAGCACATGGCTGAAATTTTACCTGTAAGTATTCATTCCTTTGGGATGATTCTTGTTCTCTGTGTTCTTTTCAAAATGTGTAAAAAGCTGAGCAGAGTGAAGGGGTCACTATCATGTTGATTTAGTGATGTGAATGACTTGCTAACATTAGGATACTTGGGTCTAGATGTTGAGATTAGGGTTGGGGAAATAGACAAGGGCAAATAAACAGGAAAGACCGGTGAGAGAGATTTTGGAGTTATTTTGGGAGAAAGTGCCGTCGCAAGCAGTAGAGGCCCCTGTATGTTCACCTCAGAGTGTAAAGTTAGCGTCCTTCGCCACTGGTCCTGGACACAGCTGCTCTGGGTGTGCATCTCTCTGCAAGGCTGTCCCACCTCTGTTCTCTGACCCAGAACCTGGGCAGGTCTGAAGCCATGTGGGCATGCTGCTGCCCTCGTGCGGGAACCTTCCAGCATGGGCATTTGTGCTCAGCTGAGAACCCAGACACCCACTTTGCACCTGGCTCTGGCCTCTGCAGCCTTCCTTGCAGTGCAGCGAGGCCACTGGGACAGCCCAGGTGAGACCTGCAGAGGGAATCTAAGGAGGCCCACTTGGAAGCTCAGGGTTCTGGACATCAAGTGGTCAGGGCTGCTGGTTGCACACAGAGGTGGTGTTTGTCCTCACAGCCAGGCCTCTGTCCTGTACTGAGACTGGTTACAGTGGTGTCATCCAAGTTCCTGGTAGTCTGGGCTTTGCCTGTATAGCATGTGGCAACACTGGTTTCCGGGACTGCTCTCTCTGGCCTTTCCAGGAAACAAGTCCTTCCTGGAATGCTCAGGCCCACGGTGAGCCCTGCTGTCCTCAGCAGACCCTCCTGGTGCCAGCCAGCTGTGGGCCTGCCAGGATGACCACCACTCACTGTGCCTGGCCTCCCACCATGGTTCAGCAGCTCATGAGGCTGCTTGCTGCTGCAGGCTATCCAGTGCTGGGCCTGCCAGTCCCTTCTCCCAGGGTCTGCTGGTCCACCTGTGGTGGCTCCATTTCATGCCAGTGGATCCTGTGTATGTCTCTGTGTGTATGTGTCTCCCTAGCTTCTAGCTATGGACTGCCAATTGCTGGTGTAAGACATAGACTTTCCTTTATTCACAGAAGACCAAAGCTTCAGTGTTGCCTGCTGGCTTGAAAAATCCTCTGCCAGCATTTTCTAATCTATGAAATGAGTTTACATCAGACAACCCCTGCCAAGTGGGCTAGGATGCCGGGGGAACAAAACCAGTCCCCTCCTCCACGCTGATACAAGGCATGTACTCACAGCCCTTGCCCGTACTGCTGAGGGTCTACATGGGTATAGATATTTATCTCTTTAAAATGGGTTAAATTCTCCAGGAAAGACCAAAGTAATTTGGAACCACAGCTGCTAAACAGAGTGGGTGATACTCTGGGCTGAGTCTAAGTGGTAGAAAGGCTGGCTTCTGGTCATTTATGGGAAATCTTCTCACCTTGTTCACCCTTGTCTTACCCATGAAGTTAGATGACAACTAAAGACCTTCTCAGTGCTAAACAAGCTCTGGAAGAGAGGTGGAAAACACAAAGGTAGACAGAGGTTGACTCTGAGGTGGACACTAAATAGTCCGCTAGGTTTTCCCGCCCAGTGTGTCCATTGACCCTGCAGTGTCTCCTCCAGTGCTCCAGACAACAGGGGCACGCCCAGGCTACTGGGTGACTGCTTCGAATCTAAAAGTCCAGATGCAAGCCTAAAAAGTTGGCCATAGGACTCCCTCAATGCCTTCTATGTGAAAACAAGGGGCGTGCATAGAGAAGGTTCTGAAATCTCTGCAAAGTTGTTTACAAAGCCAAGGCCGTGCTGGGTGTCAGCTCACCAGACCTTTATTGGCTACATCCCACTTGTAGTGTGAAGTGGGTGTTTGTGCAATAACCTCCCTGGGAGGAAAATGGGATAAAGTATTTTGGAAGGTCTTTAATAGCACTAGTGAAAATAAAAACAAATTCAAATGTAGATAGCTGAAGATACGTGTATCTTGAGATTGAACTCATGCTTGCATAGCCCTTACCACAAGCCCAATGCTATTCTGAAACTGCAAATGTTAATTCATTGAATCCCCACTGAGGTTGGTGACCCAGAGGGGTTGGTGCCATATCTCTGTTCTGCCAAGCAGACTGAAGCCCAGAGGAGCTCCTGCCTTGTCTGAGATGGTACAGAGGGGAAGTGGCAGTGCTCAGACTCAAACCCAAGCAGCTGGCTCGAGGGTCAGTTTGCACTGGCACGCGGAACTGAACTCCACATGTGCCCTGCCGGCACTGTCCTGGGCAGCTTCAGCTGACCTGGGCTTATGCGGTGTCTCTACCTCTCCAGCACCCTTACCTCTTGGCACCTGTAGGGTCAAAGGTAGCAGAGCATCAACAGATAGATGCAGCTGGCTGTACCTTGGGAGCCCATGGGGCAATGGGGAGGGAGTTTCATAAACAGCTCCATGAAATCAAGGACAGTGTGGACTTGGAGGAAGGGAGGGGAGGAAGGAAGGGGCTCCTTGATGACATGGGCTCCAGCTCGAAGTCTTTCTGGTGGGGTAGGGAAGGATAGGAGTGGATTCCACCGTGGTTTTGTTACTCAATTTCGCTGGGATCTGTAAAGACCTTGTTGGGAAATGGCTTTGGTTGGAAGACAGCCTCTCCAGGAAAGAGCCTGAGCAGCTGGGATCCTCTTCCTCACTTGGTCTTTGACTGTGCTTATCCCATGGTTGAGAGGGGAGAGGCTAAATTCAGGGATCGAGAAGACTTGGTTTGAATTCCACGCCTGCCACTAACCAATTGGGAAATTATGTTGATTCTGAGTTTCAGTTTTCTCACCTGTAAATTGGTGATGCCATCCAGCCTCATGGGCATGCTGTCGAAATGACATGTTGTCCTGTCAGTGCCTGGCACACGGTGGGCTCTCAGCCAGGTGCTCCCTTGACCAGTGGGTCCGCTACCCCAGGCCTCCGTGAGCCCTCAGTACCTGCCCCACTGGCCAAGCGCTTCCTCTTGGCTTCAGTCTTGGAGCGTGTCTGTTTCTCTTTCTTTTTGTGTCCTAAGAAGCCATAGAATCTCCGGGGGCAAACAAGTGAGTATGACTGTCATCAGGCCCCAGAGCTGCAGAACATCCAAATCTCACGCTCTCTGGAGTCCCTTTGGCTGCCCCCTCTCCATGCATGAAGGCAGAGGGTGCGCTGCTGGAGCAGGCACAGCAGCTCAAAGCTGAGAGCAGGAAGTGTCAGTTCGTCATGGAGCTGGGCTGAGGAGATTGGGAGGGAGCCTGGTGTGTGGTCCCCACTTGGGGCCAAGGAAGAGCAGAGCGGGCTTTGCTCCCGGGACTCTCAGGAGGTCCCTGTGGGGAGGGTCCTGGGCAGAGCTATCTCTCATCCATGTGCTGCTGCTTATAGAAAAAGTTTGGGAATGAGATGAGAGTGTGATGACATATCAGAGTCATTTTCTTTCCTGCAGGAATCAGGTAAAGAGGCAGTGGACCCAGGTTCAAACCCTGGGTCTGCTCTCTGCTGGTGACATTAGCTAAGAGTGAACCTCTCTGAGCCTCAGAAGGGTTGCTCTAGATTAGGAGTCAGCAAACTTTCTCTGTAAAGGGCCAAATAGGAAACA